CTTTATTGCCTTTGGCCTAACTGTCAAAGGGTTAGGTTTTACTCTATGGTTATCCTATGGGTGAAAATTATATGTATTACATCAATCTTTACTACATTCTTTTCTTTTACCATGCCACACCATTATTAATCAAGGAATATCTCAGCTAAGACTGGTGATGCTATGATCATGTTGATATTGTGTTTGTCTATGGTATATTGCTATTACTACTTCTATAGAACATGATTATATAGTGTCTCCTATTCTTGATGTCCTATTGTCTCCCACTAATATAGGGTATTAATTGCAACATCAATTAGAGAGCTATGGATAATGCATTTTAGTTTTTGGAGGATGTTTCATGATCAAGCTTATAAAAAGATGATATGTAATTTGACAAAATAGGTGTCAATTTTTAAATATATCATATGATTCTTTCTCTTTGCTTTTTTCTCTTTCCTAACCTTTTTGCTTTTCTCGAAATCTACCACCTCCTTAGATTTTTAATGTGTTTTCCTGATTTGCAACACTTCCTTTTCTTAACATGTCAATCATTTATGACTCTTATGATTCTCATTCGCAATTTAGTGTTGAGTTAAGTATTTTCTATCAATAATTTTGATATTGAGCATATGTGTAAAGCCAAAAATTTTACTTTTGTTTCATTAGCAAATCATTTTTGGTGTTGCTTTTATTCTAATGGTTGAGTTACTTTTGCCAGGAATTTAAATTAAGTGTATTTTAATGTAATTGCCATTGAGAGTTTTTACATTATTGTTATTAGTAAGAAGTTTCTTCATTCTCTTCAGAGTATGGAGTTTTTCTTTAATTTTTCTGTCTCAAGGATTGAGTTTATAGAGTCCTTTACTTATCTCACATCAGCTAAAATATTTTATAATAAGATATCCCTTGTTATCCAACTTAGATAGAGTCTATATATATGGATGTCCCTTGTTATCCAAGATTTCTTTCTTATTATTTCTTTATTTCCATCTTGACAACTATTAAAAATTCTCCATTTGATGCTTCTTCATCCATTTTTTCTTTAGAAAAGAGGGTAGAGGGGATGGATAAAAGTTTGGTCTTGATAATGAAGTGAGGATGAGTAACTATAGTAATGGAGCAAAGATAAATGACATATATTATGGAGTGAGGATAAATGTAATAGATTTAAATGAAATGTTTAAAACCCTAATACAATGAGGTTAACAAAATATCATAGTTAGGATAAACATAATAAATCTAAATGAAATTAGTGCTTTAGAACTTTTCTTTCGAGCACAACATGATCACATGCATTACAAATATGGGATAAATATCATCCAATTATGTAATTTTGAAGAGCTTATCCCATTTCTAAATCTGCTTACTAACCATAATTTAAGATTACCATTAATTCAGACTTATGACTTAAACTCATCATGACCTTGATCCTTGAAACCTTAGGGGACAAATAGGGATAAAATAACCATTAAGGGCTCTTTTATTAAATAATTGCCCATTTTCTAGTTACTTAAAATATAATATACCCTTGAGCAAAGTATATTCCTACCCCTAAATTTAAAATCATACATATATACGTTGTCCTTTCTTTATAGAGCATTCACGGATGAAGGTATCACCGTAGGATTGTGGTAAGTGGAGCATTCATAAATGAAGGTATCCACTATAGGACTGTAGTATAGGTGGATAACTAATTGCTTCATATGGAATAACTAATTTACACAATGGAAGAATTAATAAATATAATATGGATGAAACTATCTACTATAGGACTATGGTAAGATGACTGCTTGCTTCATATAGAATAATTGGTTTATACAATGGAAAGATTAGTAAATATAATATGGATGAAAGTATTCACTATGAGACTGTGGTACAGGTGGATGACTAGTTATCTCATATGGAATAGTTAATCTATACAATGGAAGTATTGGTAAATATAGTAAGGGTTATTAGTCAATAGTCAATAGAGACATTGATATCTTTAAAGGGTGGGTGAATGTAGTGCATATAATCATGGGATAAGATTTGAATATATTATTATTATGGATTCTTGAAACCTTAGAAGATAAATAGGGATAAAATAACCATTCAAAGTTCTCTCATCAAACAATTGTTCATTTTCCAATTGATTTGGGAGTACAATAACCACTAAAAGCTCTCTCATCAAGTAATTACCCCTTTTTTTAGTTGGTTTAAGAGGATAGAGATAGAATGCACTACAATAGTTTTGGATTCTATTTCTACCATAATTGTCAATAATTACATTATATAGGTCAATGGTCCTATAAAAGTTTTAGGTTCTTGTGGTAGTGTACAACAGCCTGACAAAAGTTTTAAATGTTATATCAAACTTAACTTCATCAAAATTTCTCGTCGTAGTGTAAAGCTTATAATATATGTATTATAAGCTTTATGGATTGTTTAATTGGGAGTTAATCTAGTCCATCCATTCATGTATATAAGTAGGGGTCTAAACCCCATTTAATATACTTATATCTCAAAACTTTATATTTTTAATTTATTAAATAGCTTATTTTCTCAAATTTAATTCAAATAGAGTGGAGATAGTAAAATATTTCTTCTTTATTTGCACATTTATTTACCATTTTCCAGTGGTAGTGATAGAAAACCACCACCATTGATATTAAACATGGAGGTTTACCCTAACCTTTGCATTATTTTATTTTAAAGATTTATAAATGTCTTCAAAGACTTATTTCTAAACCAAGATAAAAGTATCCCTTCAAAATATTCTCATTGATCTTCACTAAACAAAGCCTTCGGGAGTGACTGGAAAAGGAGGTCTGTTGGTCCGACAAGATACGTAGCAATCATAATCCAGAAACGCAAGGAGGTCTGTTGCAGCTACCCAGGCTCTCCAGGTGGGTTCGTCCTTTATCACAAAGTGAACCTACAATTAGCAAAGGCATGTCTAAGCCAGGCAAGTTACCTCAACGGACGCTTCAGCACTTTTGAGTGCCTTTTGTACGCATTCTACAGCAATCCGTGCGGCTTTATCCACAGGAAACCTGAAACACAATGCAAACTCAGTACATACAACAGGTAAGGTGGAGTACAAACCCGCCGAAAAACCCGCACGAGATAGCTGGGAGCGCTATATGCTTAACGCCCTCCTTGCAAGCAAATGTTATAGCGTTCCTGTAATAGCAAAAGCACAATGTATCAAATTTTCTACACACTCTGACATACCCGTAAGTGAGACCAAGTTGTCTGGCAGCTTCCGTCTCCCTGTCTTTGGAGTATCTTGTGCCTAGAGTAGCAATGATTTTAGATGCTGGCAGTCCCTCTGAAGGGCTGAGAAACAAGTCAGTTAAAAAGTTTAAAAAAATAAGGAAAGACAGTTACATGATCTCCAAGGCAGTAAACCTCGAACCAGTAGTAGCAAAACATATTTCTGAAAAAAGAAAAGTCAAAAGCTCTAAACACCCCTTTGCCTTACCCTGGTGTATCTGACCTCCAGCAGGAATTACGATAGCATCATTCTTTCCGTCCACAAACCACTCTAGTATGTCCCCACTTTTAATCACAAACTTGCAAGAGCCGACTTTACAAACAAGCTTGAGGTCCTTTTCCTGATCAAAAGCCACTATATCTATTTGGAAAAACAAAAAAAGAAGAGAGGTAAATTTGAAGCATTATTACCTTGAGGTCCATCACCCTTATGCAGGGGTCCCTGGGACGTCGGGGCTCGCAAGAGGTAATGGGTTTGGGTACTTGAGGGTTCCCATTGACTGAAAACAACAATATCGTTATATAGCTATAATTAGTTTACTGTACGTACCTAGGGGGCGCAAACCATGGGGTCTAACACCATATAACTCTACCATCTCTTCCTCGTCTTCAGGCTCATCTTCGTCTTCAGACTCAGATTCATGGGGAGGCTCGGAATATATATCGATTGGGCCTTCCTCTTTGTCCTCTGCGGCACTGTGTAGCTGTCCACTCACCTCTAGAGTCATTCCAGAGGCCACTTTCTGTCGCAGAAGCTCTCCAACAGGAACTACTGCGAATGTCCTGCATTCGTCGGTCCCTACATCGGCAATCTGGCAGCAAGCTTCCTCGAGGCCCTGTACTAGTTCGCACGTTACAAGCTCGTTTGCGGATCAAAAGTATACAATACTCACAAGTGCGTCAATCCGAGTGCTGAAAACGCTAGTATAATCGCTATCCATGTGACACTCTAGGTGTCTTGATGCAACAATAAGATAGGAGTCTGCTGTAGTCAGCCGCTCCTGCGTGCACAGGCTTCCAGAATAACAAATTTCAACGAAAGGGTGAGTACCCTGTGGTAGTAAAAAGGTAGACTGCTGCTTTGCGGGGGACTAGCATTTTTGAGACGGTAGAGAGAACTTGGACGGGTCAGCCTCTCGTCCTTCCCACTTCGGCACAGTATCACCGTCGCAAGGGCCTCGCCAAACACATACACATGTGCGTCTCCAAGCACCACCACCAAGGACCTGGTTTGTGCACACCAATCCTATAACCAAAACCAAACCAAACATTCACAGCAACAGCAATAATCAGACAAGAAGAGAGATTACCACATACCCAGCAATCTGATGTTCCCACCAGAGCCCGCAGCTCGTAATTCATGCTGCAAAAGAACCGCCCATATTTTTAAAAAGTAGAATGTGCACATATTCTTACTTTCTGAATGCGAGCTCCAGAGCTTGTGGCGTACCGCACGTTGACAGCTCCAGAGATGCCCGAATGTGATCCATGAGTCGATATCGGCGTAACTTGAGAAGTTCGAGATGTACAGAATACAGGTGCGTATCTCTTACGTCCGGGTAAGCTGCATGGAAAATTACCACAACGCGCTCCTGCACTCTCCCTATCTCTGCCAAGCACACCACACAACTAGTCATATCCTGGGCCGGCTCGACCATCACTGCCTCCATCGCCAGCTCTATAACCCTAACCCAACAAAAGGGTTTTCGATCAGGACATAAAATCTAATGCGTTTGATTAATTTGGGACCTTCCAAAGGCGCGGTTGAAGGACGCAAGCAGCTGTACAGAATTTTGTTTCTCCGTTCATGCTGTGATTTATTTTCTTTCTCGTCCAGGCAACACTCTGCAGGACTTTCAAGCAGTCCAGAAGAAAGAATTGGAAGCAGTGTATACACCCTTCGTCCCTGAAGCCTTCGAGGTACTTGCTTGATCACGTAAATCAAGTTCCTGATTTCCAGCTTCTTATCTCATATAGTTACACAAACCTTACTTCAGTCGAGAAGATCGTACGTCAAACAGCTTGATTGATCCGCCTTCCATAGCAACAGCAAATACCAGGCCTTGTTGATCATACGCCATAGACGGCCTTCCCCGGACTCTAAGAAGATCCTCGCTTTCCAGCCGCAGAGGTTATCAAAGGCGCGTGCTATGGGAGAAATGCTTACAGCCACGTACGTAAATCTTGCTGGCCACAAACTTCGCGTGCTTTCCAGACATCCAGGAATCGAATGGCAATCAATCGCGAAAGCCACCAGTACCAGCGGACGCATCAGAATGTGCAAAGATTTCTTGCAGCAGTGCTTTCACTTGAAAGACCGACTGCGAGCCAAGTACAATCCCAGTCCCATGCTAGGCTGGCGAAACCTTGCGCGTTCGTGGGGTACACAAAACTGACAAGAACACAGCGATTTCGCTAAAGAAACTCTGCAAAATTGCAGAGTAAAATACATCGCTTCCAAGTGGTTCTCTCTGAAAATCTTACTCTCGCTCTCCACAACGAACTTACATCCAAGGTAGTTCCTCGCCTACTTCATGTACTTGTTCAAGAACTTGCGATGGAAATCACTCCTGATCGTATCGTTGATGAAGCGCTTCACCTACTTGGTAGCCTGGTGCTTGAACACCACATCGTCGTCCCACCTCCTCTACACGGCAGACGAGCCGCCGCCACCACCGCGGCGACGTCGGTGCCAACTTGCTCTTGCGAGCTTGAATCTTCGGCATCTGGCCCAAGATGGTTAACGTGGACAAAGTTCGCAACCAACCGCTTCTAGGAACTGTCGTGGTTTGATACCGAGCTGAAGATTGGAGAAGAGCCTCTCCAGCTTGTCAAGAGGTCCCTCAAGCAGTGCTGTGGTGTTGTGCTCGAAGATGATGGCATGTCAGGTACGATGAAAACTACGGTTGTAATGCACGCTGCAGTGACAGAATCAAGATTCAACTTCTGCAAAGCTCGAGCAATCCAAACGAGCTCGAAGGGAAGGTTGAAGGAGAAGGGGAGCACATAGCTCCACTCAAGATGACCTCTAGCAACTCCTCTAAGCTCAAGAATCCTAACTTACAACACTATGCTTTTCAATATCCATTTATCAACTGAGGGAAGTGAAAAATTTCAACAATGCAAGAACTTCCTTTGCAAGTTGTAGGTGTGAGTGAATACTGTCTAGACTAGGAGGGTTGGAATAGCTGGAAAAAAAACGGCTTTACACCTTCTTGACGCCATTTGGATGGATCTCTGCCGCGAACTGGACGCTGTCGACGATCTTCGCCCCGCGTGCGGCAGTGAGATATAATCCCATATGGTGCGCGAGATCCTGCGCATCAATTCACCAAATCAATCACGGTAGGATATTTGAGGGAATGTTTCATACTTGTGGATGCGCCACAGCGCCAATTTCCTTCGCAACTGCCAGAGGCAAATCATAGGTGGAGCATCCTTGAGCGTAGACCACGATTTCTTCCAGCGGTGGCGAGATCCCGTGGTTCCTGACCGAGGTCATCGTCGCCACGAAATCTAGCACACAAATGTCCGTGCAAACCCCCACCACCAAGATCTGGAAGAATTTTAATGCAAGCCTTTCTTCTTGGACAAAGAAAGAATTTTTCCTTACCCGTTGAATCTTGTTTGCGTTGATCCAGTCCACGACCGTGTTGGATCCATCTGGTCTCATCGCTCCCACAAATCCATTAATGCAATCCTTTCGCACGAGCACAACCTCGTCATCGTCCTCGAACCACTTAAGGTCTGATCCAAGCGAAGAATCACTAGATAGCGATCGAAATCGACGAGATTTTTCGAGGGCACCGACCTGGGACGAGTTCTTCCTCTCCAGAGCCCACAAGGCAATGCGGGGGATACGGATTCTCCGGCTTGTTTGGGTCGTGGCAATCCAGAAACGCGAGAACAGGCAAGTGCCTGGATCGAAATTCTCTGGCGATCCTCACGGTCTCGTCGACCATGCGCTCCACTTGAGCATCTGGGGCCCGAGGAGCCTGCATAGATCAATAAGAAAGTCGAGCGAGAGAGTGGATTCCTCTACTGACCAGATTTCCGTGACCAACGGTGCAGAATCCGTTGACTTCGTCGAGGACGACGAGCCCAGTTCGCTCGTCATCCCCAATTCTAATGCACAAGTGCTCCATCCGGACAGGGAGCTCCGCCTTCACCCACGAAATCAAATCCATGGTGCAGCGATGACGGTGACGAACCCTAAATATGTATACAAGCAAAGCATGAAAGTTTGACTCTTTTAACCACTATTATCTGATCTGGACCATTATCAAATGGAGGGTAGGGATTGCACAACAGCACAACATGAAATGTTGTCATTAAGCATTTGTTTTAGTTTATAACTACGTTAGAGTTTTTGTAATTTTTGCTAATGGTTAAGTACCCTGGAAAAATGTTCTTGAAAAATGAATTTTAATAATGTTATGTATACTCAATAAGTGCTATAAAAGGTTGACATGTGTTGTTTGATGACTTTTATGATTATTTAAAAACCTATCTAAATATTTGAATTTATAGCTCAATTTTGTAAAATGTGCTACTAAGATGTTGATAATGGGGATACAATTGGATAATTCTAACAATATATTATGAGTTGTTTTTGCTAGTTACTATAGTAATACCGAACCTGTAGTAATTATTAATAGAATATTAGGTTTTTAAAGCTTTCATATATTAGATGGTCATTTACTTATAATAATAATAATAATAATAATAATAAATAAGAAAATTATATATTTTTCCTAAATTGCATAATATTTGTATGATACCAGAAAATTATATTACAATTTATAAAATTAATGTGGAGGAATAATTTTAATTATAATCTTAATTAAAATATATTTAATTTAATTTCTAGTGTGAGTGCATAGAATATAAAAATGGAATACAAAAATGTGCATATCAATTAGCCCAAAAACCTTAGATTATATACATGAGCAAATAATCTAGATTGAAATCAATTCAACAACTATCAAAATCCCACTATATTAATATTAGTATATGGCATTATAATTGTATACTTGGACTTCACATCATCCCTTCCTCTCATAATGATGAAAAAAAATTAAGGTTCTCTAGTAGAAGGGTTGGAATCTAGAAGAATATTAGGAAGAGGCATCAGTGAATCTGTAAATAATGCCATTTATTCCTACTCCCTTGTATAAAGTGGTTTAAATGTTACATATTCATAATTTTTGGAGGATCAACCTATTAAATGTCATGTCAAATTTTATAAATTTGCAATCTAACTTGCTAGAGCACTTAATATTAAACAAATTACATATGATAAAATTGGGAAAATAAATTAACTCTAAATAATTTATTTTATACTTTGCAAGGGGATGATAATAGGAGTTATAATGCCATTCTTGTTCCACTTGTAGGCAGCCCAATGTCAAATTCAATTCATTTGCATTTTTATTTAAAGTAATTCTTATGTATTATAATGATTTACTTTGTGATAGCAAACATAATATATAATATTTTTTAAATGTTATTCCTAGAATCAAACATTGAACACTTAATTAGTTTTAATGGAAAAAATTATGTATAAAATTCAACTGTGTTTAAAACTTTTAATTGTACTTTATTGAATGCCAAATTAATTTCATCATTTAGATTTAAGGACATTAATACTATTTATTAGAGTGATATAATAATAATATCTTCTAATTAATATTAAACAAGTCCATCTCCATACTACTTGAGCTTTGGGCCTCAACTCGGGCGAGAAGGGTCCATCCATCTCCAGATGCATGTAGGCATTCATTCACGGCCACAACCCTCACGATGTCCCCAAATTCTATGTCCATGTATCCCTGAAGAAAATAACCAGTCAAAAGTACAAGAAGAAAAACAATAATACCTGGTATCTCTTGAGAAAAGCTTGAAGTTCTCTCATCTTTGATTTCATTCGCGCGTGTTCGTTGCTCGCTATAGCGGCACTTACTTCCAAAGGGGAGTGTCCGATCATCCTCTCAACCAGCTGCAAAATCGGAGACCGTAGTCTTGACTAAACAGAATTGAAGCTTTACCTCGTGGTTCACTAAAGCTTCTGTTAAAAGGCTCCCATCTTCGATGTATATCGCCAGCCGGTATGCATTGCGATCCTTGAAAAGGAACTCTTTCACGGCTGTAAGGAAACACTGTATCCAGAAAACGAATCGTGCTTTCTTTTTTCTTTTCTTTTGTTACCTTAACTCGGCCTGATTGAACTACACCGGACTCCATAAACCGCCTCTGTAGAACCGCCAGATACGTAAAGGGAGGGGACTCCAGGCTGTCTGCGGCTGAAAAATGGACGGGCATATGTCACGAAAATCTGAAGATCATAAAACTTACTGCGCAGTTGTCTTCTACTCCTGGTTTCATTGGATTGGAGGGAAAGCATACGAATACGCGAAGTTCCCAGGCCGATAGAAGTCTCGGAAGGTGTGCCAGACAAGGTCCGATGCGTAGTTTCGTCCTGTCCTGGAGGTGAACATCAAAAGCATTAGGCAGGGAGAGAAAACCTGAAAGGCCTTCTTTGTGTTTACTTGGTGTTTGTTCACTGTAGGAATATGAACCGCGAGAAAAATCTTCTATAGAAACAGGTGCTTGCCTTCCTGAAGACAAAAAAGTAGAGACAGAAAATCAAAATACAAGGATAGAAGAACGAAAGAAAGAAGGCAAACACAGTCACTGTGCAAAAGTTAGACCTGTATATGGATGATCACGAACAGTCGAAGAAGGTTGCTGCTCACTTCCAGGATTGGCTGCAGCACCATTGTTTTCTTGGACGTCAGGAGTTCGGGGCCAGGCAGCTTGTGTAAGTTGCTCTTCCAACGATGGTGGAGTAGTACCACGCGGGTGCCTGCAAATATCCTTAACTAGTACACGAAGAAGAAAACTTTACCTGTTTCCCCGAGGAGGTTTGTTTACTTGATGTACCACTCTCTGTCGAGCCTCTTCAAGCTCTTGGACAACACCTCCTAGAACAGTAACAATTTCCGGGACAAGAAGAAACATCCCTCTCCGGATGCAGACATTCCTTACGCAAATCTGCGGTTGGGAGAAAGAAAAATCATGGAAAAGACTTTAAAGGATTTCTTGAACGTGTACCTTCAAACCAGCTGGTTGTAAGACTTTGAGCTGTGGGATAGGACGATACTCAATGCCAAAAACTCGTTGAGCACCGTCGGTCATGGATAGCTTCAAGCATCGACTTCCAATTCCAGCATTTCTTTCCTGGTAGCGATCCTTGAGGCCGCAGCAAATGTCCACCGTTTCATCTACCTGTGTGCCATGCTCCCGTCGATAAAAAAAAATATAGAAAAACTTTCACTTACTTGTAGAACGAAAGGGCCCGCTAGCTCCACTTTGTGCATCGCCTGGACCCCTGGAGGAAGCACAGCATCGGTGACGAGATTGAAATCGGCAGCGAGGAGCTGCGCAAAGCATTTCTCGGCGCACAAGTCTACCGGCAACTGTGACGCTCCGATCTGCTCGCGCAGGCAAGAAGAAAGCCACTGCGCCTTAGGCCGCATTCCGCGAGAAGCCATAATCTCCACAACCCGCTCCTCCATCGAAATCCCAAAACCCTACTAGGGTTCTAAGCATCCCGCCATTTTGCTAGCTTGAAAGGTTCCAGGAATATGCTTGCCAAGCAAGGGCTTTATGGTGTTTTGCCGCGCGCACTCTCTTCTCTTCCAGATCGCGCATTGCGGCAATTCGATCCTGCCGTGCCGAGGATATCGTTCCCCAAGACGCGCCACGGCGTGACATGGGACGATCCCTGCCACTGGCTGCGAAATTCGGACGAATCAGCACGCGCAATCGACCATGGCTGGGACAAGGGAGCTGCAGCGCCAGATCCGCCAGGAAATGGCGAGTAGGATGGAGAAGGAGCTCGCGTCGCTGCCAGAGCGCTGGGGGCATTGGTGAGTTCTTCCCGTTTGAACTTTTTAGTTTTTGGCTTAGACGAAAAGCTTAATGACAATGTAGGAACTATTTCGTGCAGATCCCACAAGGGAAAGAGTTTCCCATCTACTCGAGACGAAGAGCCCGCAAAGGTGGAAGGCTGAAGGCTTTCTTGACAAAATTTTCTCGACAAGAAGCAGAGTGAAGTGATGATCGACATCAATGCGCTTGCTGCGAAGCACGATAAAGTTTTGAGGATCTATCCTTCGTTCTCTCGTCGTAGCTATCATGAGGATGATCGATCGAAAGGACCTGCATTGCGATGAATGAGATTCACAAAATTCGGCACTCTGAGACCAGGAAAGGAAACAAAGCGACTAGAACAAAAATCAGGGAAGAGCTCACCACAGGCCACCGCCAACGGCCTGTGGCAACAAGTTTAATAATCCAACACATGATTCAACACAGCAATCCAGGAACATATAACTCGTCTTTGAAAGCATCGAGCTCATAAGACCAAACGTTTTGTGACGACTTAGTTTATAGCAGAACTTAGAGAAATTTTTGTCACTGCCTCGTATAACTCAGGTTTTTCCATGGTGAAGCGCAGCTGGTGTAGTGGTAGTATCCTCCCACCTCATCCGGATGGCTTATCTCCAAACAGATAGAGTCCAATGTTTTGGGCGAGAAGACACTAGCGTCACTACTTGGCCTTGTCCCATGAAATCGCCACCGTCCATCAAACATCATCCCAGCCGTCGATATAAACCCGTTTTGAAGAAGCTAGGTCTTCCATTCAGCAAGAAGGTCTGGGAGCGATGGCGCGTGACACCGGTGAGTTGAGCGAGGATGACTGTAGTGAGCTTCTCAAGTTTTACATGAGGGGCAAGCGGCTGGGATGTGGAGGGCAAGGGCAGGTTTTCATGATCCATAATGGCCGCAACACATATGCTGGAAAGTTGTTTCGATCGGGGAGTGATGCCGAGAGAGAAGCTCGGCTCATGTCCAAGCTTCATGCCTGCCCTGGGGTCGTCTCCTTCAAGGGCTTTGTCCGGGAGAGAGATGGTGCCAAGTGCTATGGCACCATCGTCATGGAGCTGTGCGGCCCAAACCTATGCGAGGGATTGATCAACTGTGGGCCGATGAGGGAGGAGGATGCAGCGAAGACCATCAAGAAGTTGGCTGAAACGCTCAAGGAGATCCACTCCAGGGGAATTATCCACCGGGATCTCAAGCCGGAGAACATTCTTGTCAAGCTCAATGCCACTGGTGTGCACGATGTTCTGATTGGAGACTTCGGGATAGCCACAGACCTGCACAGGGAGATGTCAAAGTACTGTGGCACGGAAAAGTATATGGCACCAGAGGTGATGGCGAGGAAGGGCCGCAAGGGAGAATCACAGAACTTCTACACGGCAGCCATTGATGTGTGGGGTTTGGGAGTCATTGCGTACGAGCTGTTGAAAGGTCACAAATCGAGAATGGAAATCGATTTCTTGAGAGCGGGAGCATTTCCAACTGGTTTTGGCTCGGACCAGGCGGAGGATCTTCTCCAGGGGATGTTAGCTGTCGAACCGAGCAAGAGGTAACGCTGGACCGTGTGCTTGCACATCCCTGGATCGTGAAGCATTGCAGCAGCAGTAGCAAGATCGAGACGACGACACGCAGCAGGCGCTGTGGAATGAAGAGGAGTCTTCCCAGCGGCAGCGACTTGATCGTGAAAAAAGCTCGTGCAGCTTAAGAACAAAAGCCAGCACCAGTTCGGTAAGCATCGTTTTTGATTGAAGAGTACAGGTACTAACTTTGCTTGCTTGGTCACCGGGTGGAATTTTTTTTGTGAGACAATGATCTTCTTGTCGAGAAAGATTTTCTATAGCAATGCAAGTACTGTCTTTGCAAGTTATGAAGTTTCTTTTCTATTCTCTTGATGGGAACAGTCAAATTCAATATAGTGGAAGGGATCGCTGATGATCCTGGCGGCAAATTGGAAGAGCTTCAACTCGCGCAAGAAGCCTCCATCCATTTCCGGATAGTCGTTCACGGCCACAACCCTATGCTGGAGAACATAAAAGATCACCACACGCTTAAGAAGAGAATATCTCATGTGTGCCTTTGTAGAAAACACCTGGTATCTCTTGAGAAAAGCTTGACGTTCTATAGCAGCACTTACATCCAACGGGGAGTGTCCGATCATCCTCTCAACCAGCTGCATAATCGGCGACCATTCTTGATTAAACAGAATTGCTCGTGGTTCACTAGAGCTTCCATTAAAAGGCTTTCATCTTCGAGCTGGTATGCATCCTTGCTCAGAAAACAATTTCTTTTCTTTTCTTTTATTACCTTAACTCGGCCTGATTGAACTACACCGGACTCCAAAAACCGCCTCTGTAGAACTGCCAGACGTAAAGGGAGGGGACTCCAGGCTGTCTGCGGCTGAAAAATGGACGTGAAGATCATAAAACTTACTGCGAAGTTTTCTTCTACTCCTGGTTTCCTGATTGGATTGGAGGAAAAGCATACGAATACGCGAAGTTCCCAGGCCGACAGGTCCGATGCTGTTCTGAAGTGAAGATAACAAGAACTACGCATGGAGAGAAAACTTGAAAGGCCTTCTTTGTGTTTACTTGGTGTTTGTTCACTGTAGGAATCCGAACCGCGAGAAAAATCTTCTATAGAAACAGGTGCTTGCCTAGAGCCAGAAAATCAAAATAAGCAAACGCAGTCACTGCGCAAAGTTAGACCTGTATATGGATGATCACGAACAGTCGAAGAAGGTTGCTGCTCATTCCAGGATTGGCTGCAGCGCCATTGTTTTCTTGGAGTTCGGGGCCAGGCAGCTTGTGTAAGCTGCTCTTCCAAGTAGTACCACGCGGGTGCCTGCAAATATCCTTAACTAGTACTTGAAGAAGAAAACTTTACCTGTTTCCCCGAGGAGGTTTGTGTACTTTATGTACCACGCTCTGTCGAGCCTCTTCAAGGTCCTCCAAGAACAGTAACAATTTCCGGGACGAGAAGAAACATCCCCCGACATTCCTTTCGCATTGGAAGAAAAGAAAATTCAAGGCAAAGACTTGTAATACTTTGAGCTGTGGGGTAGGACGATACTCAATGCCAAAAACTCGTTGAGCATCATCGGTCATGGATAGCTTCAAGCTTCGACTTCCAATTCCTTCCTGGTAGTGATCCTTGAAAATGTCCACCGCTTCATCTACCTGTGTGCTATGCTTCCATCGATGAAAAGCTATAGAAACCTTCCACTTACTTGTAGAACATAAGTGCATCGCCTGGACCTCTGGAGCGTCGGAGGAGCTGCGCGAAGCATTTCTCGGCGCGAGAGTCTACCGGTAACTGAGACGCTCCGATCTGCTCGCACAGGCAAGAAGAGAGCCACTGCGCCTTAGGCGAGAACCGTGGAGAAATTCCAAAACCCTACTATGGTTCTAAACATCCCGCCATTTTGCGAGCTTGAAAGGTTCCAGGAATATGCTTGCCAAGCAGGGTCTAGGGTTTTATGGCGCTTTGCCGCTTCTCTCGCGCACTCTCTTCTCTTCCAGATCGCGCATTGCGGCAATTCGCTCCTGCGGCGCTGAGGAGATCGTTCCCCAAGACGCGCCACGGCGTGACATGGGACGATCCCTACCACTGGCACGCGCAGTCGACCATGGCTGGGACAAGGGAGCTCCAGTGCCAGATCCGCCAGGAAATGGCGAGCAGGATGGAGAAGGAGCTCGCATCGCCTCCAGAGCGCTGGGGGGATTGGTGAGTTCTTCCTTGCTCGTTTTGATTTTTTTTTGCCTAGCTGAGGAACTTAGAAACAATGTAGGTACTATTTTGTGCATATCCCGCAAGGGAAACAGTTTCCCATCTACTCGAGACGAAGAGCCCGCCAAGGTGGAAGGCTGAAGGCTTTCTTTACAAGTTTTTTTGACAAGAACAGTGAAGTTATGATCGACATCAATGAGCTTGCTGCCGAGCACGGTAAAGTTTTGAGGATCTTTCCTTGTTTCTCTCTTCTTCCTAATTACACAAGTGTAGGCCATGCGCAGCTTGGAGTTTTTAAACTATCCAGAGACCACAAACTGTTAGCATACACGATCGACTTGGGTGGCAACGAGATGTTCACATTGTTTATCAAAGACTTGGAAACTGATAGCCTCCTCCTGGAGCACAAAACCGATGGTGTAGTAAGCGTGGAGTGGTCTGATACTGGAGAATATCTTTACTACACTTGTAGTGATGTGGCACATCGACCTCACAGGTTTCTAGTTGAAGTTTCTTCTAGAATCATTTTTTCTCGATCTCGACAGGGTTTTGTTGTGGAACTTGCGATCTAAAGATGATGACATTGCAATTTATCACGACGACAATCCAAAGAACTTTGTTGATGTTACAAGAACCAAAAACTGGCAGTACGTTTTGATTAATGTCAACTCGAAGACGTCCTCTGAGGTAATTGGGTTTCACAAATGTGTTGCTCGAGCCTCTACAGGACAGGTTTTTCTGGTAGATCCGAAAACTTCAGCCACAACATTGCGGAAAGTTGCAGATAGAGTTGATGGCATCCAGTATTTCGTGGAACACCATGAAGAGCACCTGTATATTCTTACCAATTTTTTGGGCGACAAGAAGCTAGCGTCGCTAGGAAACAACTATCGGCTTGTCCGCTGCAAGACAGATAGCTTGACCTCGAAGGCGTGGGAGGTAAGTCAATTCTCGTTTTTTTCACAGCAAATACTGAAACACTTTAAGAGGTTGTCCCAGTCGAGAGCGAAAATTGGATAGAGGATATGGATATTTTTGCGAAGCATTTGATCTTATACAGACGACAAAATGGTCTTCCCATTGTGCATGTTTTCAACCTGGATGTAAGCATATGGTAAAAGTTTTGGTCTCACTAATCTCTTTCCTTTCAGAGCCTGAAAACTCCTCCTTGGACTGTAAACCTTCCCTCTGGGATAACAGTTCTTACTCCTGGAGCAAACTGTGACTTCAATTCGTCTACTCTACGGTGTCGATATCTTCACTGGTGGTAAGCTCTCTTTCTTTCTTGCATTAGATGTTCGGCAATATAAAGATTGGGCATGTAACGAAATCTGGAGAAATAGCGGGGCCACGTACATTGGAGCACATGGTTGATGTTTATCTTCACTTGGAGGTAAGAGGTTTCTATCTTTGTTCGTTTATATTTCTTGTCTCTAGGGAGACCGTCTTTTGTCTCAACGGCTTCTAAGATCACTAAAAAATCGCTTCGCTTCTACGAAAGAGGTGACTGTCTTTCAGCATTTGCTTTTAAATTGAATCTCGCTGTTTTATCTTTATTACAGGTCGGCGTGTTTGAGATGGTCGACAACGGTTTACGAGCGGTAGAAAATCCCAGTTTGATGTTTCTTTCTGATAGAACTGGGGAGGACACTAATGCATCAGCCACCGTTGGGGTGGCTTTGGAAGGATCTCGGCCGCTGCTGGTTGAAATCCAGGTAAGCGACTTCTAGGATTTACGCTGGATGATGATACTTTTAGCCAAATCTGAGCGTTGTCTGGCTGCTCTAGCTTTCCAGGTTCAACGAGAGACCGGTGGTAGATTCTTTGGAATTTCCCGAGTTTCGAGTGAGCTGGACTGCCAACAACAGTTTCTCTGACTTGCCATGATCTGACTTTAAAACCGAGACGCGTATCTGACAACGATCAAAAGCTAAAGTTTTCTCCGGCATGAACGCGCGTTTTGCAGGTCTTATGCTCTCCTGCCACTTCACTGCCAAGTAAAAGAACGTTCACTGGAGTGGATCCATCTCGATTCAATCTGATTGTTGCCATAAGTCACTCCATAAATATTCTCCACTTTTGTGAGGCTTGACGCTGTGATGCCAGGTCTTACTCAAACAAGCGCGCTTGAGACTTGCAAGACAGGTGCGTTCTATACTTTGTGATAGCAAAAGTTCTTATGCTGAAATATTGCTCTAGGATATTTTTGTTAATGTCGTTGGAGGCTTTCGTTTGGAAGAGCCCGCCACAGATATTGCTGTTGCCGTCGCTATTGCCAGCAGGTACTTTCTCTCGGCTAGCTGGGCATACCAACTCACGAGCTTCGTCTTGCTTGCAGCTATATAGAAAGGCCGGTTCCTCGGGACACAGTCTTCATTGGTGAGCTAGGACTCGGGGGAGAGCTGCGCTTTGTAAGTTCTTACGTGGTTTCTCACTTTTCAATGCTGGAAATTCCGTCCATGCAGGTAGCTCAACTCGAAAGGCGACTGTTTGAGGCATCCAAGCTGGGTTTCAAGAAATGCATCGTCCCACAGGGTGCTAAAGGAGTCGAGGTGGACGGAATGGAGCTTATTCTTTGCTCGAGCCTCAAGGACTTTCTAGAGAAAGTCGTCAACTACATGCCCCAGCAGCGAAAGAGTGGAGCCACGGTTCATTTGGATGCGTTTCCGGAAGAAGACGGGGTGTGTGGTGAGGTCCAGGATGCTCTTGACGATGATCTTGCTAATGGGTAATAAGCTTTTGCATCGTAAAATTTTAATCTCACAGGTGTACATATAATCTAGCAGCTTATACGAATTTTAAATAACCATATCGTTCCAAGGCTATAGATCTAGCAATACGATTGGCGGTCTTGATTGTTCTCTTAGCCTCAACAGGCATCACCCAGAAAAGGGGCTGTGATTGTCTCCTACCTTGGACAGTGCTTGGAGCAATCGCGCGTGTGATCCCCTTCCTCGTCGTGCAGTGGCTGCTTGGAACCAGTGGCACGTAGAGGATTGAGCCACAAGAAGAAGAGTGAATCTTTCCGAGATGACCTCTAAAGCAATAAAATGCTTGTTATTAATAATGTAAAACGAATTAACCTAGAAATTAATGAAAACATGATTTAATTAAGATTATTATTCCTCCAGATTATCTTCTTAAAAACTTTTTCATAAAATGTTACTATTAATTGTCCAGTATCTTCTATTTTTAAAATTGCAAATACTATGCAGTTTGAGCAAAATATATTATTTTTCCATATAATGTTATTGTTATTATCTATTATAAGTAAATGACCATCTAGTTGAAGATGAAGATAACAAAATATATTTGATCTTTCTGATATTGTAGACCATATACTTTTGATTTTTTCAATATCATCAATAACAAAATTACAATTTTCTAATTTAGCTCGAAATTTATTATTAGAAGAAATTAAACTATTACTATTTATTATAAATGTGCCATAAAAATTTAGAGGACTGTTAAGTAGTTGTGTTCAATATGGCCAACATTGTAAAAAAAAACATCAAATCTACTATATAAAATATTAAGAGATAGATTAGGATAACCTATATCAGAATATGGCTCATGAGGATCTCTCACAGAATTTATTCCAAGTGCAATAAAATCAATAGAAAATTATCTATATACGGTTTCAATCATTCCTAGACCATGTAATCTTGCATGATATTCTACTAATCTTAGCATTTCTAAAAAAGTTCTTCTAACACAGAAAACTGATAATTATCAGGAAGTGAAAAATTTCTAAAACCTAAAGGAGTGATATAAACCATAATCATAACTTGTTGAAAATATGTTGATTACCAAAAAGACCAAACAGTCCAATCCATCTAGTTTGAGGTGGTTGCGCATTCGATAAATTAACAATTATATATAATAACAAGAGACTAAATTTTCTTTACATACATTTAAACACCTTTCTTCATTGACCTAGTATAGTAAATTTCTAAAAACTTCTTATTGAATCTGAAATGATCTAGACTATGGATAAAGTGAATTTTCTTAATTAAAAAATAATGACTACCTAAACTTTATTATATAATATTTAATCTATAAATCATTAAAGGCATAATTATATTTAGTTTTAAAAATTATAATAAATTATTATTTTTTTAGTATCTTAATTATATTAAATGAAATCATTAGTATATTTTAATTGATAAATAACATTTAAATTTAAAACTAGTACAAGTATTTAATTAATAAATTAATCATTATCTTCTGTGAGGTTCAGATATACAGCTATGATGCTAAATGCTATTATTAGCATAGTAGGATTCAGATTAGACTAAATAATTTAATAATTTTAGGCTTTTATATTTCATTCACTCATTGATCCTTAAGGAGTGCTTAGATTTATGTTTTCTAATTTAAATCTAACTTGTCCATCACCTAGATCTCTCTTTTTTGTAAGTTTTTCTTTTTTTATTTCTTTTTTTTTTCTTCTTTTCATTCATTTTCTTGGTAGAGTAATTTACTCCTCCTTTGTAGCAGCATAATTCTATATAATATAAGAATCCTTAAACCCCAAAGTGGAGCTGAATGTGATTCATGTGGTAGTGGCCAAGGTAGAAGTTTAACAAGCGTAACACATTGCATCAACTCGGAAAGTCAAAAACATAAGTGGAAATTTTAAAGAAATGCTTAAGGAATAAACACAAAATCATTAGTAAGTGAGTCTCAAATAAAAGACGAAAAAATTACCAACATGTAGCAAGTGTTGTGATGTGTAAAAGTGTCAAGACCAAACTTGAGATAGAGTCCAAAACTGAGACCAAGATTGAGATTGAAACTAAAACCAAAACTTAGTCCAAAACTAAATTTAAGACCAAGCTCAAGTTTGAGGTGAAAGCCCAAATGATTGTTTCTCAAACCCTAAAGGGTTTGATAAATCCTTATATAATCCAAACTTTCCTCAAGGACAATCAAAAGTGCCCCCTTCCACCAATGTGAGTGCATAAAATATAAAAAAGGAATATAGAAAATGTGCATATCAATTAGCTCAAAAACCATAATTTATATATAGGTGCAAATGGTCCAGATTAAAACAAATCCCATAGCTACCAAAATCCAATTATGTTAATATTAGTATATAACATCATAACTGTACATTTGGATGTGGTAAAATCCTTTCCTTTCAATTTGCATTCTCCTAATTTATGGGCTCTAGAGCTATGTTTCCAGTATGATAAAGTTTTTGCCAAATGGCCATACAGGATTGTGTCGAGATCTCTTGAGGTGGACCGAACACTCACACTCACACTCTCTCTCTCTCTCTCTCTCTCTCTCTTATAAATAGGGAGATAAAATTTAAAAAAATATATTTGTGAGGTTGTGGTCAAGTATAAAAATTTTCTTTAAGGATAGCTTTTGAGATTATTTTGTTTCCGCAAAGGGCACGCGATTTAAATTTATAAACTAGTTCCAGTAGAACATGTTTGTATTTCTCATCCATGAAGCCGCCGCTGAGAACAAGGGCAAGGGTAGCAGAGACAGTTCCATCATGAATTTCTGGAAGGTCCTCACTTCTGATCTGCAACCCCTTCCAGATCATGCAATCTAGAGCATTCTAGTTTTTCCTGCATTGGTGGAACAAGCAATGAAGACAATATTATTAAATGGGGGATGCGGGGGTGGGGGGTGGGCAGTCAAGGATGCCCAAGAGAAATATCTCCCTCAGTACTTAACCGGCGGGTGGAGTTTTCTAAGCTGTGAAGGCTGAGATACCATGTCTCATCAACATTAGTGACTGGAGTCCACATTCTGATTTGCAGGCTCGTGCTCATGGGGTCAGACGAGCAAAGTAGGTATTAAAACTTGTTCCAGATGCTGTTACTCAAATTTTTTCATTTGTCCAGGTGATGATCTATATAGGCTCTGCTAATTAGTGCTAGCGGAACTATTGAGGAGAGGATGATGCAGTTAAC